GGGTGGTGATCCCCTGGGGCAGGTTGCCCCGAGAAGCTGTGGCTGCCCCATCCCTGGAGGTGTTCAAGGCCAGGTTGGACGGGGCTTGGAGCAACCTGGGCTGGTGGGAGGTGTCCCTGCCCAGGGCAGGGGGTGGCACTGGATGATCTTCAAGGTCCCTTCCAACCCAAACCATTCTGTGATTCTATGAACTTGTGTTTCACCCCGGGAGCTCAAGAAATGAGCCTGATTTCACTCCTCTGCCCCATCCCTGCCTGCTGGACCACCCCACCGCCCAATCCCCCACTCCAGAAAGGGCTTGGGGACCTGGCCGAATCCTGCGGGTGCCCAGCAATGACAAGCACTGCGGAGCAAGGCACACGCTGTCCCTTGTCTTTCCTGAACAGCGGGGCTTCTAGGAGATCAGACATTGCAGGGCCTGAGGGCAGGGGAGGACCAGCCTGGCCCACAGGGGCGATGCTTGGGGGGAGAGCGGGAGGAAAGTGCACCCAAAGCATCCGGGGAGAGTTATTTTGGCGTAGACACAGCGATGGTGCGTCCTCACGCCTGCCTCACCCGGCTCCCCGCAACCGCTCCTTTATAAAAAAAAAAAAAAAACCACAAAAACCCAATAGAAAAGAGCTGGGTGGGGGGGGGCTGGGGGGGGGAAGTCACAATTGCAAGGTGGGAGAGACCCGTCCATCGTCTTTAGGTGCAAGAGGGAGACAAGTCAAGATGGGAAGGAGTGGGGGGAGATAAAAAAACCCAGACCAAACAAGAAGGCAAGAAGAAAGAGGGATGGGAAGGTGGAGGTGGGTGGCCGGCAGCCAGCATCCGCTCCAATAAATCCTACGCTCCTTGAAACTGGCTGATCTCCAATAAAAACTAATTTTAATCCGAGACCACGAGACTCCTTTGGAAAGTGCTCCCTGGAGAGGCCCCGGTGCTGTGAAATGCTTCATCCAGAGAGCTGCTGGCGGGGACCAAGAGGGGTGATAAGGCTGCAGGAGCCTCGTGTGCAGCTCCCCATGCACACCGGGGTAAAACTACACAAAAACGGGGTCCCTGAACCCACTGGGTGCCCCAAAGCCGTGAGCAAACAGCGTCTACCTGTTACTAGGGGAGCCCCTGGCTACAGGGACGAGTATCCCTTTGGGTGTCACCGTTGATCAGCAATGGGGACAGGTGCTCTTCTGGGGGCCGGACCCTGTGATGCTCCACGCTCACAGCTCAGCATCCCACCTGGGACGGTCACATCCGCTTCCCCATCAACTCTGGAGTTTATTTCCTAAACTCTCTGCATTTATAGAATCACAGAATGGTTTAGGTTGGAAGGGAGCTTGAAGATCATCCAGTGCCACCCCCTGCCCTGGGCAGGGCCACCTCCCCCCAGCCCAGGTTGCTCCAAGCCCCGTCCAACCTGGCCTTGAACACCTCCAGGGATGGGGCAGCCACAGCTTCTTGGGGCAATTTGTTCCAGTGTCTCCCCACCCTCACAGGAGAGAATTTCTTCCTAATATCTCATCTAAATCTCCCTTCTTCCATTTTGAAGCCGTTCCCCCTCGTCCTATCAAAAAGTTGAGGTTACTCAATGTGTATCAAGATAAAAGGGGGTGTTTAGGCTGAGCCCTACATGAATTTGGATGGGGCAGGTCCAGGATGGAGCATGGGACAGAGCCGGGGTCAGGTCCCTGTCCTCGTCCCCACAGAGATGCGGGGTGCCTCTCGGGGGACAAGGAGGATGCTCTGCGGAGCTCCTGGGAGAGGTGTAGGCTCCTCTCTCTGTCGCTGGATGAATTTGCATGTGGAAATTCAAAGGAGGTGAGTGGCGTTGGGGAAAAACTGCAGCAAAAGTCACCCGTGAAGGCTCCGTGTCCTCCTGCCCCGTCCTGGGCACTGGAGCACCCGCGCTCCTCCGCTCTGCATGACTGTACTCAAAAATATCGAAATATCATATTTGTGAGGGTTTTTTTTTTTACTCCAAATGGTGCTTTTTTCCTACGTTTTCCTTCCAAACTCAGTGATGTTAGAAAACCCTCCGTGTATCGGGGTTTCTTTTCTCTCTTTGTCTCTTCCCTCTGTGCGCGGAGCTGCTGTCGTGCTCCCCACGGAGCCGCGTCCTGATGCCCCAACGTGGCTGTGTCGGGGGGGGACCGAGCCGTTGTCCCCAACCTCATGAGCGCCAATGTCTCTCTGTCCTCTCCAAGGAGTCTCTCCTTCAGCTGATACCTCCAGCACCGCTTCCCAACCAGCTCCTGCTGCGTGCCCCTAAAAACCTTGGGGGGAAAAAATAAGCATGATTTTTTTTTTGGCTCCTGGGGGAATTCCTCCGGGCTGTGAAAGGAGCCCGTGGTGGTGGTGGATCAGCCATCGGTGATGGGGCTCCCCTGGGAGATGCTCATCCTGGGGCTCGGCACGGAAGCGGGGAGCGGGTACCCCATTCCCGTGCCGGTTCTGACACGTCGAGAAGAAAAACCGACGGGCGAGGAGGCACCGTCAGGCTTCCGTCCTTCAAAGCGGTTTCTCGGAGGCAGACCTGGTCCCCCGGCACCTCTTGGCTGGCAGTGCCACCCTCCGCCTGTCATCCCGCCTGCCTTTTGCTGCCTTTTAATAGAGGGAAGAAGCGGCGGGGCCGGGGGGGCGGGGTGAGTGGGTTGTTCCCTCCTCTCCTTGCTGAGCTGTTTGGGGTTGTTCCCAGAGGGATGCGGGCAGGATGACCCTTGGGATGGGGAGAGCTGCTCCTTCCCTGGGGTCAACCAGGTTTCAGCCCCAGCACTGGGGAGAAGATCCCTGGGAGCTCATTGCTGTCCCACTCACGGCCGAGGTTATCAAAGCTGCCGAGTTAGCCTCGAAGACCCGATTTGAATCCCAAGGAAAGGCTGATGATCCCACAAGTGGGAAAATCTGGCCGGAGACCCCACGTGAGGACTTTGCTGGGATGGGTACAAGGTTTTCTGCGCTCATCCCCTTCGGGGCTGATTTTGCAACTTAAACCTCAATTGTCGACTTTTGCGTAGCAAATTGATGGTTTTTCCTTAGGGAGCATCGCTGGAAGCTTGTTTCTCTTTTCATTTGTTTGATTGAAATATTATCTAGGGCTTTTTGAGTCTTTTCTCTTTTCTCTACAGAGCACTTGGGCTCTTCCCTAAAAGCCCACCTGAAAACTAAACTAAATTATATTGCTGTGGCCGAGTTGCGGGGTGGGGGGAGGTGGGGACAGAGAGGGGCTCACTTGTTTTTCGCGGTGACGAAGGGAGGTGGCAGCTCGCCTGGACTGGCATCTCAATTCGAACCAACCTTAAATGGAGGATCAGAGAAAAGATTTAAGGAGCGAAGCACGGTACGGCTGTGCGCCCGAATCCCATCCTTTGATTTGAAGTCTCAAACGGGGGTGGGGGGGTGTGCCCCGGGGCTGTTTTTGCGGCTCCCGTTTCGTGGGAGATTTGGAATTGATTTTTTTTTTTCCCCCATTGTGACTTCTGAAGCAGAATTTTTTTTTTTTTGCTGTGTAATGCCAACACATGGACAGGGCTGAAAAATAACCCCGGCTGTGCTGTGCTGTGCTGATGAGCTCCGATACTGCATTAACCCTCTGGCTGCCGGGACTGGTCCTGCCTGTCCCCTCCCTCCCTGGCTCTGGGACACCCCCACTTCTCCATCCCCATCTCCGGCTTTGCTGGCAGGAATTAAGCTACGCTTTAAAACCCCTGGAATTTGGTGGTTTGCGTAGCTGTTGCCGCAGTTCTGCTCTTGCCCTGGCTGGGAGAGCTGCCGGATCCTGCTGGAAGCTGAGCGCCCCGTAGGGTGGGGGTACGGGGCAAGGGGGGGGACCCTGGCACTGGATTAACCGGGAGCAAGTGGAAGGGGTCTGTGAGACCCCCGTGTCCTTGCTGTATCTCCCTGGAAGGGGCTGTGCAGCCCCCTCCGCCCCCGGGAGCATCCCCGGTGCCAGCCGGCAGCATCCCGGCTGGATGAAGGGACCAGGGACGAGCGGGTTGGAGACCTGCGGTGGGGCTGTGTCCTGCGGGGTGGGTGGTGGCAGTGTGCGTGTAGGCTGTCACCCCCTTGTCACCAGCTGGCTGTGCCACTACTGCCTCCTTGAGCTGTGCTGGTGGGAGCACCCAGGCAGGTGTGCTGCTCTTTTATTGGGGTGCACGAAAAAAAAAAAGCTAAGAAACCTCACTGTGAACCCAAAACAGCCCCTGTAAAAAAATAAAAAAAATTAAAAAAAATAACCCAGGGGCTACCAAGGGAGTTTGTAACCCTCAGCCACCGCTCTGCGAGGAGCTGCCTGCCCCAGGAGCTCCTCTGTGCTGGGGGGATGCTCCGATGCGGGATGCGGTACCTCGGTGCCGGATGCGGCACCCCGATGTGGGATGCGGCACTCTGATGCAGGATGTGGTACCCTGGTGTGGGATGCGGTACCCCGATGTGGGATGTGGTACCCCGATGCAGGATGTGGCACTCTGATGTGGGATGCGGTACCCCGATGTGGGATGTGGTACCCCGATGCAGGATGTGGCACTCTGATGCGGGATGCGGTACCCCGATGTGGGATGCAGCACCGCAACACAGGGACGAGTGTCCTCTGCTTCTCCTGCGTTTAAAAAAAAAAACAACCAACCAACCCCAACCCACACCATACCTTGAACTTGAAGCTGGGACCAGCCATTTACGGGGGAGGAGGATATAATTAGCACAAAACCGAGCGGTGGGAGCCTGCTTTTTCCGATGCGGCAAACACTGGTGAGAAAATTAAGGGGGAAAAAGCAGCGCGTGGGGGAAACCCTGCCGGATGAGCGATGCACCGGTGTGTTGGCACCCGTTCGCGTCTGTGGTCCCGGATGACCTTAATGGACATTCTCCTCCTTTTCAAATAGCGTGTCAGTGGTTTAATTTTAGTCTTGGTTTCTTTATTTTGGTCCTCTGGCTTTTTGGTTTTAAAGGGAGGGGAGGAGGGAGGGTCTGCGTTGGTTAATGAGAGCAGATTGAGTGTTTGGAGGTGGCTTTCGGGAGATGTCCCCTGGCGTGGGGTGGGTTGGCGTTCGCTCTCCACGCCGCTGTTGCCTGGACCAAATGGAGCCGCTCTCATTAGCGCAGAAATAATTTTGCTGGAGGAAATGAGAGGAGGAAAAAAAATGAGAGAAGGAATAGGGACATAGTGCCTTCTCCTCTGTCCATGAAATGTGGCTGCGCTTGACTCCAAGCAAATAAATCGTTATCGTTTTATTTCACCCTGAATATCCGCCCGCAGGGGCCGGGCGGCTGCATGAGTGAAAATTTTTGCTTTTTGGTGACTTTTTTTCCCCCGCCCCAGCTCCCGTCTCTGGAGGATGCACTGGAGGATGCACTGCGGTGTTGTACCCGGCACCGCATCTCCCCAGCTGATGCTGTGTGTTTCGGGGTCCCCCCAGGCCCTGCTCCCAAGCGCTGGAGGGGGGCAGATGGGTGTCCCCCCGCAATCCCCCGCTGCCTTCGTTAGGCTTTTCTCAGCGCCTGCTCGTTCGGAGCTAACAGGAGGAAAGCGTGTGAATTTGTTTAAATTAGCCAGTGGTGAAAGCTATTAATAATTAAGCACCTACTGTCAGGAAAACAACGGTAGACTTGAATAAATGACCCGGCTTTGTTACTTACAGCTTCTGCCGTTATTAAAATGGAAGGAATATTAATAAACCCCTCGTCTTGGGTGATGGGAAGGGTTTGACAGGGCAGCTTCCCTGTGGCCTGGCCCCACGGCTGTGCCGGACGGCTCCAGGAGCCGCCACGAGGAGCCGGGACTCCTGCATCCCCCTCCTGCCCCTGGACCATCTGGGATGGAGCGTGCGGGGCAGGGAAGGATGCTGCCTTTGGGATCCTTTTTGGGATTTCCATCCTGCTTGCCCCGTAACTACAGCTTCGGGGTCGCGCCGGGACTCCTGGTTTTGTTGCTGGTGATTTTGGGTGATGGGAGATATGAGGTACCGGCGGCTGCTGGTGGGGAGCCAGGTCAGGGGCCGGCATCCTGGGGAGCCGCGGTGCTGCTGCTCGTTAAGCCGACGAGTGCTTTTCCCCCCCTGCGAACGCCCGCTGAGCACAGTTTAAACTCAGCAACAACTGCGTGGTAAATGATACGAGGCGATGGGAATGGAAATGAAACGGCTGGGGCCCGGCTGGGGAGGGCAGTATTGACGCAGCCGAAGCTGTGAGCATTAAAGGAAAGCAGGCGGAGGGTCTCTGGTGGCATCGAAGCCGTTACCGACCCCGACATCCTGGTGGGGACCGGCTTATCCTGGAGGCAGCGGGTCTGATTCTTCCCTCCACATCCGGAGGCCACGTCCCGTTCCGGTGTCCTGCTACTGCCCCAATAGGTGTCTGATAGTGACTCCATCCCGGGTCCCTGGCTCTGTCCTGCGTGTCCCCACGGCCAGCACGGATCGATACCCAGCAGGACCCGAGCATCGTTGCCGAGTCGTGCGCATCTTTGCCGTCCCGCATCCTCCACCTTCTCCATCCCTGCTGGCAAAGCTCAGGAGGTGCAGAACAAGGGGATTACTCCATGTTCTCCCCCCTTTCTCCCTCCCTCCGCAGGCTCCTACCTGATGGTGAACTCCTCGCAGCACGCCCCGGGCCAGAAAGCTCACCTGCTTTTCCAGGCGCTGAGCGAGAATGACCCCCATTGCCTCCAGTTCAGCTACTTCATGTACAGCCGGGACGGCCACAGCCCCGGCACCCTCAGCGCCTACGTCCGGGTGACGGGGGGCCCCGTGGGCAGCGCCGTCTGGAACGCCTCCGGCTCCCACGGCCGCCAGTGGCACCAGGCGGAGTTGGCCGTCAGTTTGTTCTGGCCCAGCGAGTACCAGGTGAGCCCCAGCAGACCCCCCCTCCCAGCACAGCACAGACCCCACCTTGGGTGACCCGGACTCCCCCGGTGATGGGTGACCCCTCTGTTTGGTGCCGCAGGTCCTCTTCGAGGCGGTGGTCTCCAGCGAGCGCAGGGGTTATCTTGGCTTGGATGACATTTTGCTTTTGAATTATCCGTGCTGTGAGTGTCAGGGGATGGGACCCGAGGCCGGGTTGGGAGCTGGTACCCACTGGGATGGTCCTGGGCAGAGCTGATGGACTAATGCCGAGGTGCAGCCTGGTGGCACCTGGGTGTCCCGTTGTCACCTGGGCTGGTGGAGCTCCATCTCCTCCGTACCTCTGAGGCTCCTTTTTCCATCTCCATCCCCATCCCCACCAGCTCCAACGTTGCTTCAGTTTTCATAAAACATCGGAGAAGCGCAGACTGAACATGTGGCCAAAGTGTCCCCATCAAGAGGGGCCACCTGGGCCAGTGGGGACCTGAAATCCCAGGCTGTCCCAGCATGCTGGCTGTTGGGACATCCCCTACTTCTCCTAGGCAGGGGTGGGAGGTCTGACCTCCTCTATCAACCCCATAGCCTGCATCGGGCACCAGCGCTGCGGGATGCTGGAGAGGAAGGTTGTGTTCTCTCCGAGACACCGGCTGGTTGTACGGGGACAAATCCCTGACTCTGGGCTCGGGATCGTGCCCGGGATCATCGCTGTGGGTTTGGTGGGGAGTGATCCTGGCTGGGCTGTGAGGATGGGGACCGAGCCCATACGGAGCTCGGCTCCAACCCCAGCATCCCAGGTGGGTTTTTGGGCTGCGGTGGGATTTTTGCAGCAATACCGATGCTTGCGTCCCTCGGCAGCGAAAGCTCCTCATTTCTCCCGCCTGGGCGATGTGGAGGTCAACGCGGGGCAGAACGCCACCTTCCAGTGCGTGGCAGCCGGCAAGGCCGCCGAGGCCGAGCGGTTCCTCATGCAGGTGAGCAACGGCGGTGGTGAAACCAGCATCTCCACCGTCCACCCCACGCATTGCTTCTGCAACACCTCTGTGCCTTCCCGGTGGGAGAAGACAGCACTGGGAAGGGAGGAGAAGGGCAACCCCTCCTCTGCTTTTAAGCAGGTGTCATTTGGGGACATGTTTGGTGGCTCTGGGTGTCACGCGATGCCTCCTGGTGACTTCTTGTCTCTCCCCATGGGGCAGAGGCAGAGCGGTGAGGTGGTCCCTGCTGCCTCCGTGAAACACATCAGCCACCGGCGCTTCCTGGCCACCTTCCAGCTGGACGAGGTGTCCAAGGAGGAACAGGACCTCTACCGCTGCGTCACCCAGTCCAGCCGCGGCTCAGGCGTCTCCAACTTCGCCGAACTCATCGTGAAAGGTGGGTGACTTTCTGTTGCCTGCCGGGTCTCTGGGTGATGGATGGGCTGTATCTCTGCTCCGCTGTTTGGAGAGGAAGAGGAAGGTGGGACGCTCGGGGGCGGGGGGCGGGTGGGAGCGCAGTTTCTCGCTGTGAATGAGTTGCTACACATGGTCTGTTCATCACAAAATCGGGAAACTACCGCTCGCGGTGGCCTTAGATCATTTATTTTTGATTGCAGTAGGTGGGAATTAATTCATTACGGTGAAACTGTGCAGCACCACGCCGGGCGGTGTGTCTTATAAAGATAATTAAGGTTTGGTCGGATGAAACCCTATTGCAGCTGTTAAAACCTCACTAAAAGCGATGTAGGGCATATGCACGGGCTGAAGCTTAAGGAGTGGAGGGTGCCCTCCCGTACCTCGGTGCTGATCCCCACCTCCCCTGGGTGGGAGGATCCAAGTTTGTCCCATGCTCTGCAGTGCGAGGGTGATGGATTTGTTTGGGAAGAGATGATGTGAATGTCTTGACTGTAGCTAGTAAAAAATAAAATAAAAATGTGGTACTTGTGGTTGTTCCGGTGTTGGCCTGGCTGCAGGGCTGGGGATGCTGTGGAGCTCCTTCTGGAGGGGGGATGCTCCACCTGCCCCTTCTCCGCTCTCTTCCAGAGCCCCCCACTCCCATCGCGCCCCCCCAGCTGCTCCGCGCCGGCTCCACCTACCTCATCATCCAGCTCAACACCAACTCCATCATCGGCGACGGCCCCATCGTGCGCAAGGAGATCGAGTACCGCATGACTTCGGGGCCCTGGTCGGAGGTCCACGCTGTCAACATGCAGACCTACAAGCTTTGGCACTTGGATCCGGACACGGAGTACGAGATCAGCGTCCTGCTCACACGGCCCGGCGAGGGGGGCACCGGCAAACCGGGGCCACCCCTCATCAGCCGCACCAAGTGTGCAGGTGGGGCCCATGCTCCATCCCAGCCACCCCAGGTGGCCCTGGGCAAGGTCCCCTGCCACCCCGAGTCCCGGGCAGGGAGTGTGGCTGGGGCTGGATGGGTGCTGGGGGTGTTTGGCAGTGCGGTCCAGGAACTCAAAGCATCGCTCCTCTGACGGATCTGCCTTTAATCATAGAATCACAGAATGGGTTGGGTTGGAAGGGACCTTGAAGATCATCCAGTGCCACCCCCTGCCCTGGGCAGGGACACCTCCCACCAGCCCAGGTTGCTCCAAGCCCCGTCCAACCTGGCCTTGAACACCTCCAGGGATGGGGCAGCCACAGCTTCTTGGGGCAATTTGTTCCAGGGTCTCATCACCCGCACAGGAAATAATTTCTTCTGGGTATCTCATCCCAATCTCCCCTCTTTCCATTTAAAACCATTTCCCCTTGTCCCATCACTCCATGCCCATGTCACAAGTTCCCCCCCAGCTCTCCTGGAGCCCCTTTAGGCACTGGAAGGGGCTCTGAGGTCTCCCCTTTTTCGCCTTCTCCTCTCCAGGCTGAACCCCCCCAACTCTCCCAGCCTGTCCTCCCAGCAGAGGGGCTCCAGCCCTCCCAGCATCTCCGGGGCCTCCTCTGGCCCCGCTCCAACAGCTCCGTGTCCTTCTGCTGGTGGGACCCCCCGAGCTGGAGGCAGCACTGCAGGGGGGTCTCCCCAGAGCGGAGTAGAGGGGCAGAACCCCCCCTCGCCCTGCTGGCCACGCTGCTGGGGATGCAGCCCGGGATGCAGTTGGCCTTCTGGGCTGTGATAATTAACTGAGTTTTTAGTGGCTCTATGTGGCATCTCGGGAGGGACTGCTAATTAAACCCGCGTTGTGCTGGTGGCTGGAGGGTGGCAGGGTGCGTGGGCATGGCCGGATCCTGAACCGACGCAATCAGCCGGTGTGGAGGGGCTGAACACGCGCCCAGCCTGCGGGTGCCGCGATGGCCGGCGGGTTTGCGCTGATCAGAGCCAGCAGTAGCTGGACGCGACCTCGGTGCGGTAAAGCCCGGCAATGGGATGCGCGGAGTCAGCAGCTGCCGTGCAGCTGGTTCCCGTCCCCGGGGCTGCACAAACGCCAGCAGGAGGTGGCTGCTCCCCCTCCGCCGGGGCTGCAGGTGCGGGGCCGGATCCAGCTCACGGCATCCCCAAATCTCAGGACCCCGCTGTCCACGAGGATGAGCCCCTTGGCTGTCCCTAGAGTGGTTCCCATCCCCTTCCCGCCTCGGAGGGAGCTGTAGATTATTCTCCAGTGCCTCATTTTGAGTGGTCGGTGCCTCTAAAAATATTTCTTCTAAAACTATGTCAATCCTCTGCCTCACCGGGTGATGGGGTGATGGCTTTGGCTGGGGGGTGGAGGTGGGCTGCATTCCCGCGCACGGCGATGACCTGGGAGTGATTCAGGGCAGCCCCATCCCTGCCGAAGTCCCCTCGGGGTGTCCCCAGGGAAAAGCGGGGAGCTGGGGTTTCTCATGGCCAAAATGCCCCAACGGTGCAACCGTGCTGCTGGTCTGGTGTCCCCATCATAGAATCATAGACCAGAATCATAGAATGGTTTGGGTTGGAAGGGACCTTGAAGATCACCCAGTGCCACCCCCTGCCCTGGGCAGGGACACCTCCCACCAGCCCAGGTTGCTCTAAGCCCCGTCCAACCTGGCCTTGAACACCTCCAGGGATGGGGCAGCCACAGCTTCTCGGGGCAACCTGTGCTACGGGCACCACCCTCAGAGGGAAAAATTTCTTCCTGATATCTCATCTAAATCTCCCCTTTTCCAGTTTGAAGCCATTCCCCCTCGTCCCATCACTCCATGCCCATGTCACAAGTCCCCCCCAGCTCTCCTGGAGCCCCTTTAGGCACTGGAAGGGGCTCTAAGGTCTCCCCGGAGCCTTCTCTTCTCCAGGCTGAACAGCCCCAACTGGGCTGAACAGCCCCCCTAGTTGGGGGGTGATGGGGGGAAGACTTCTCCAGTGCCCCAAGGCTGCAGAGGAGCCTTTTTCCCTTGGGGGAGTCTGACCCCGCATCCCTACAGTGGGTGACCGGGGTTGGGGGGACATCCCTGTCCCCGGTGGGACTGGCGGCAGCGTTTCAGACGCTCCATGGCAACCGCCTTCCCGATGCCGGGGTTTAACTGCTGGTAATTGAGCGTAGTCGAAGGCAAGGAGACGGCGTGGAGACGGCACAGGATTGTCGTGCTGTGTTTGCCCTGAGACCCGGCACTGCTGTGGGGCTGCGCTGGGTCCCTACACCAAAAAATAAAACCCCCCAAAAGTCCGTGCTGCTGAGCTGGGAGTGAGCCCGGAGCATCGCCCCGCAGACGGGGACTGGTGGGAGCATCCTCCTGACACGCGGCAGGAGAGGAGCAGGACACGGCCCTGTCCCCGGGGCCGCGGGGAGCTTTGGCCATGGCCGTGGGGAGCCCCACGAGTGGGGTCGGCTTCGGAGACGGGTGTGCTCAGGAGTGGGAGGGGGGTGGTCGGTGCCAGCGGAGGGGGGAGATGCAGACCCCGACCCAGGCATCGTGGCGAGGGGTTGGCGGCAGCTTTTCACCCCAGGTTGGTTTTCAGAGGTGCTGTGGGAAAGCCCAGCTCTCTGTATTACCTTGAAGCCGACGACAGGCGCTGCGTGACACTCTCAGCGCCCCATATTTAACATCCTACGGTGACCATGTTCAGGATTCCCCGGCTCCTCCCAGGTGCTGTAATGACGTATTTTTCTCCCCGGCTTCCCCTGGGTCATGGTGGGTTTGGAGACGGTGATACAAT